CTGTTCCATTTCTGTTCACAGTTTTCTGTTTTGTTCCTTTTCTATTTAAAATAGATAGATTCGTTATTCAAGAGCTTTGTATCCTTCGCTAAGGGGCTAGCAAATGCCATTTGGCCACGCTCATTGCATAAATAATTCGCTGCGGATGCTGGGTCGTGTCAGGTGGGCTGGGTTTAGAGTGACGCCAGCCACTCTAGACCCAGCCCACCTGACACGCGCGGCGTTTCCCCACTGATTGTTATCGCCTGCCCTTTCAACGATTGGTGAAGAACAAGCTGGCGGTGCGCCAAACACAGCCCCTGCCACGCCCCAGCATCCGCAGTGAACAATACTGTTTGCTCTCATGTTACAACGGATCTGCGGTTGCTCGTGGTCAAATATCATTCCGTCGCCTTCATGCGGAGTTGGAGGAAGGATCCTATTGCCCTAGAAGCCATGTCAAACATGTCGATTCGAAGTTTTCATTTGTGTTCCTTTTTTTCGTTTCTTTCAGTTCTACATGTACTCAATTCTAGTCAAACTATAATCTCTTGAATGATCTTCATCTTGTGATAATATTCTGGTCAGCTTTTTAAATTACGGTCCGATATATTGATTAGGACAAGTTTAGATCTGTAGTTTCCTACTGACGAGTTGTCCTTTACAAAAGTATCTACGTGTACATTTATTCTATTCCAGCGTTATGATAGATTTTTATCGATAGAGCTGGTTTTCTGGGTACTTCCTGGTGTTTGACTTAATAAGTCAATACTTAGTAAATGCCAAATGATTTCACTGTATTCATCATATCTAGCATTTTATCCCCCTATGATCTTGCCCATCTTGACTGTTGTGAATGGTCTCAATCGTTCTTTCTAGTTCATGATTCCAATAAATCTGTTTCTACTCTAAGACACTGGGCCGATTGCTAGGGTTATCGCCAACGTCGTTGGTGGAAGGGCTAAGTGGGGTGTGGCCAAACGCCCTCTCGCAGCCCTTCCACCAATGACGCTGGCAACAACCGCCCGCCTCCAGCAATCTTGCCCACTGCCTCTGATAGATTTACTGATTATCGTTCTTTCTAGTTGATGAGTCCAATAAAACTATTTCTACTTGATAGGTTAGCTTAGTGTGTCTCTTATTCTTGTTTCGCAGTTTGTCTGGGAATTTACTGCATGGAAGAACTGTTTATTGTTTATGCATTTTGGCGATGTTTACGTAGGTACACGTAATGCAGTGTGATGTGTAGAACTAATTGCTCCTGAACGTAAGCGTCACTTGGGAGTTAGGGGAGTCCTTGTGAGAGATGGGGAAGGGGTGGTAAGGATTTCTAATCGGTTTATAGGAAAAACGTGCGTAAGGGTGTTGCTGGAGAGTGTACAGTTGCTCTTATTTTATGTTGAGTTTCATATGGCCCATCCATTTGTGAGCGAGACGAATCTAGAGAAAACCAAGTCAAATGTGTTCCTCGTCCGCAGCGAACTAGACTATATGTGCCAGGAGGGTGACAGGAGACACGAAGTGGCCCCACCCATGGCATTTTCTGCCACCGGTTGTTTTGTTTCTATACCGATTGCTAGTGGTAGAAAGCAGGAGAAGCAAGAGAATTGCACGCCTCTTTATACGCCCAACTGATTACGACGATTGTGAGAGTTATTCTGCAGACTGAAGGTACTAACTATACCCTTCAGTCTGCAGAATAACTCTCACAATCTCATCACCTCTGGTGAAATCAGCCTAATGAAAGAACGCTGACTCGCTGGGATTCTCGAAACGTTCGCCACGGGTAAAAGGGCGTGGGGATGGGTTTGACACGGCGCTGAATCCGCTTCCCTCCACTTTCTGATGGGAGGAAGCGACAGGGATGTATCATATCGTTCGTATCAGTCCCCCACTGTTGTCAGTTACCCTCCTCAACTACCAGTGTAGAACGAGTCTGACGCTGTGATCCGCAGCGGAGAAGACTGTAAGCACTTCACCTCAGCGTTCACGATCGCGACAAGGGAAAGTGACCCTTCATCCTCGCAGAGCTGAAGCACTCCTGCAGTAATTGAATCATCCTGAAGCTGCCTTCTGGTTTTCACAGCTGAGTCACTTGCACTCGGACTCGTAGTCGCCTCATAGCAGAAGAGGCCAGCCGCCTAGTTTTTCGGACACCTTCGCTATGGTTCACGATTTCACTGTCATGACTCGATTCTGGAAAACAAGTAACCTAATATTTTTGGTACGCAGTTCCGGTGAATTCTGAGGATGCATTAATCAAGACCGGTGTCTGATGTGCATGCCCAGGGTTTCCACTTGCTCACTTTGTGCGAAAAGTGTGACGCAAAAGTACCACTGGAGAGGGAAGTCTGTTTTACAGCTTACTAGTGATTTCTCCGTTTTGTCAGGTGTAAAAGCCGAACTAGTAGCTGAACTAGTAATAGTTTGATCAAATAGTTGAGGTTTATAGGAACTGTTGTTTAATTTGTACTGAATGGCTAGAATTGCTTTTTCTAAAAATTTAAAGATAACTGTGAAGATTTTTCAGCTGCAAACTGCTCATTAAATGAGTGACAACATTTCTGATGTTGAAAAATTTGAGTTGACAACTTGCTGCGAACTTGCCAACCATCTAAAGCCGGATGAAGAGGTATTTCCCTTCACATAATCTTTTATCAATTTATTGTTGATCAAACATTTTCCCACTTTCTTACTATTACCTTTTGCTAGTATGTTTTGTTTTAAAAAGGTTTAAATTGTTAATGAGGTTGTATTAGGGTGTCCACAAAGTTCGTTGGCCATTCGTTTTTTCAGAGCTGGTAAAGATATCTCACCAAGTTGAACTTACCGGTCCATGATATAATCTCCATGCATACCCACTACCTTTCGCCAACGATCGGGTAGAGAGGCAACTCCATCCTCCCAAAAGCTGGCCGGCCGCGACTCGGCCCAGTCCTCGATCACGTCCTCGAGGTCGCGCTCGTTCTTCAGCTGTTTTCCGTCCAAGAAATTTTGCATGGACCGGAAGATGTGGTAATCGAATGGATTAGTTTCCGGGCTATACGTTGGATGCGTGATCGTCTCGATGCCCAGGCTGT